ATAGCGATATTCTTTTTTCGAACAGTAAATAAACTACAAACAAACCAAGTCGCCATGTTGAAATTACGTCACAAGGGCAACTCGGGCAACAAAATCTTCTCCGACTTCAACGTCATAAAAGGGGCGTGTTTCCGACGGGAAGTGATGTTTTTCGTGACGTATCGTGACGTTTTCATCCAAGTTCCGACTTGGAGAGAAATAATCGAACGCACCATAAATACAGGACATGACATCAGAATAAACGCAAGACAGCTGATATGATGGGAATTCACACGCGGGTAACGAGGTGGGCGTGGCACGCACGAGGACTGGACGGGCAGGTCATGGCAATCGCCTAGTTAGCCTCCATTTATTTATACTTATCTTAATAAAGGGCATTCCGAAGAAGGGAAATGTGGAGCGGCATTTTCGCACTGTTCATGAAAACTACGACATTAACTTCCCTCCGAAAAACCAGCTGAGAGATAGAAAGGTGAAGGAACTAAAATCCCGTTTCAGTTCAAAAATAATTTATTTATCCCAAAGGGAAATTATTATTATTAATAATAGTAATAATAAATAATATTAAAGAATACTCAATATTTTTATACATAAATATGTTTTGCATTTTTATAGTAGGTAGATCACTTTGATTTAGTCATTTATAAGTAGCTCGCAAGCTAGCGTACCTTCAGAGCGTGTGTTTAGTACGGCAGGTGACAGGACGCTATGCTCAGAGCACACAATCTCCTGAACACGTTGACCATTTAATTTTTCTTTAAAAAAAAAAAAAACCTCTCAAAGAAGAATACTGACATACTTATTTCACTGCAGAAGTCAGTCATGTTGATCTTCCTCATTCAACATGTCTGTCCATCCAATGTTTTTTATTTGACTTTATTGCACTTAATTTTACTTGTTGTCACTGTATCCCAGCGTAGGGCGAGCGAGCAGGGAACGAGGAGGAATCAGGGTCAGGCAGACGGAAATCCAACAAATGGGGAAAACTTCAATGACAGACTCTGACGTGGACTTAAATACACAGGACTAGACGAAACAAGAAACAGCTGGGAACAATCGGGATTGCACGCGAAGTTAAGGAGGGGTGTCGCACACGAGAGGGTCATGACAGTTATGGACATACTTTACACTTTTGTATTTGTAAGGAGAAGGCTTGATTCAAAATAAAAATCAGTCACCATGTTAATCTACATCCATCAAAAGTTTTTATTTTTAACTTTTTGCACTTTATTTTGCTTGTTTTATGGGACATACTTGACCACACTAGATTTTGTTTGCAGTTCCCAATAAAATATGATAAAATGATAATTATATTTGCCTTTTTTTAATTCAGTGAAATGTAAAGGATTGTGTGAAGTTTCATCATTTCGACTACTATCCCCAGTATCGAATTGAATCAAATCATATGGTATCGTGGGAATTTCTGGGGTATCAAAAACATTCGAACCGTTGGCTTGAGGAATCGATATTGTATCGTATCCCGAGGAAATCTGTGATTTACACCCCTAGTGAATACGTTTTCTGTCTCCTGCCTCGATGCCTACTGCCCTGTAGCAGTCACACCTGTCATCATGAATTGCTTTGAAAGGCTAGTCTTGGGGCACCTGAACGCTGGTCTTCCCAAATCACATGTCCGTCTCCAATTTGCTTATCGCCCAAACCGGTCCACTGAGGATGCCATATCCTCTGCCCTCCATCTGGCCCTTTTCCATCTTGAAAGGAAGAACACACGTGTAAGAAAGCTGCTCAGTGGCTACAGTTCAGCATCCAGCACCATCATCCCCCAGAAGCTCATAGGGAAGTTAAGCCTGCTGGGCTTCAGCACTGGTGGTGGGTCTCAATAGTGACGGTGATGAGTCGACATACAGGATGGAGATTCAGAAACTGACAGACTAGTGTAAGTCCAACAATCTGTCTCTAAATGTGGATGAAACGAATGAGATGGTTGTTGACTTCAGACAGGCCTATGCTGTCCACCCCCTGCTGGACATTGTGGGCTCTGCAGTGGAGTCGCTCAGGAGAACCAGATTCCTTGGGCTGCACCTGCCAGCTGACCTCACCTGGTCCCTCAGCACCTC